GCCGTGTGTGTGTGTACTTGTGTATGGTCGTGTGTGTGTGTACTTGTGTATGGTCGTGTGTGTGTGTACTTGTGTATGGCCGTGTGTGTGTGTACTCATGTGCATATACAAAATAGAGAGGTTCCAGGCTGTCCAAGAGAGGCAGAGCTGGTTCAAACATGTTTATGTGCATATATATACTCAAAGACCCCATTGCGTTTAGATTTAAACGCTAAAAATAGAGATAAGACTGTATTGATAAGTTTCTACATGTACTTGGAAGTATTTATGATGCATATTGCTGATTGTTCTGGTGGAGATGGAGAAAGTTATGTTTGGACTATTGCTGGACATTGTACATGTACATATAACAGCTTGGTGCTTTGATCTCTATGCTTGCCCTGCTCTAGCCTGGCCAGCATCCGATGGAATTGAACAAGTACTGGAAGGACGGTGGTACAGGACTTCCCCCAGAGGAGGAGCAGGCGCGGCGCGCGTCTGCAGCTCAAGGTGAGCCGAGTCAAACAGGACTACAGTAATTGGAGTGTGAAAATACGTCAAGAGTTCCATTATCCAGACCCTCCGACTTATGACTAGTTCCATCATGTGTGTGTGTGTGTGTGTGTGTGTGTGTGTGTGTGTGTGTGTGTGTGTGTGTGTGTGTGTGTGTGTGTGTGTGGTGTGTGTGTGTGTGTGTGTGTGTGGTGTGTGTGTGCACGCGCGCATACGTGCATGCCTGCTGTATTTTTTTGCTTTTCCGCTGTGCGGCCATTTCAGTGGCTACAAAGATCGGTGACGGTGGCAAGAGCTGGATACGGCGTGCGTATCAGCGCGCTGTGGAGCAGGCAGAGCGCGAGGGTCGCACACTGGCCGAGGTGGCAGCTGAACGCTGGGGTGTAAGTCTTGCACAGCTATTGCTCACATGCGAGGGAGCATTGGGAAAAAATGGAAAGTGCAATAGGGGACAATCACAGCAATCAGCATACGATAAGGCAATGGCATTGTATTGTTGACTGATTGTGTATTTTATACTCGCAGTCCAAATAACTCAACTGGGCAGAAACTGCCTCTCCTGTCGTGGAGTGTTTTTTTTTTTTTTTTTTTTTTTTTTACTAAGTACACAACATACTCTTTAGAAGGGGAGAAGACAACAGAGTATACAATAACAAAACAGCAGGGAGAGTAGGGGCTGCAACGCAAGCCTGTGCTGGTGAGGCAATATGATTGCATTGTTTATCACTATTTGGGGTACTTTTGTATGGAGTACTATGTCCGGTGCTGATTTGCCACTCAACACAGAGCATGCACAGTGATGCCAATTCGTATCAGTCCATTCGTTCACCTCGGCGCAGTGGGTGAAGAACCGAAGGTGCTCCAGCCAGTCTGCTGTCCCCGTGTGTGCCTCCTGTGTCGGTGGCATGAGGGCCGTGGCCGGAGTGGGGGCTACTGCCTGAACAGCTTCATAACCTGCAGGCAAAAGGACATTGACAGCAGCCAATTGATAGTTTAGAGCTATCACATACTAAGAAGTAATAATTTATGTAGCACTATCAATATGATGGTATTGCTAGGTGGAAAAAGCACACAGCTTCATATACCGGTAGTGTACAGGGATGATGAATTTACTGGTTTTTCTTCAAATCTCGATTGTGTAGCGATCTTTGATTTTTTGATGAGCTGAATTACGATGTTGGTGTACATGTCCTAGCTTCCAGCCTACGCGCGGCTTCTTGCATCCTACGTGTACATGTGCACGCAGATTGAGAGTACACTCATGTACATGCACATGTAGCACCTACACTGCACTGTATTCGTGTTACTTGACAGCACAACCTGCAGGCATGGCTAGCCGGCATGTATCGCAGTTTTCTGCGAGTCGCGGTGATTTTTGAGTAGCAGTAGATCGATTTTGCATAGCCAACTGCGATGCGATACCGGATAAAGTCATCCCTGGTGTAGAAAAGAGAAGGCTGTAAGCAAGCAGACAAACTTGTACAAGTAGCAGGTAGTTCGAGGACTTCTGCCATCCACCATATCCCTTTATGTGCCATCCATCGCGGCTTTACACTGACAAAATCAGAATCGGCCTAGATATCGTGTGTTGATGTTGCTTCTAACCCTTATTCTTACGACGACTTTGTTGCTGCTGCTGCCGCCACCGTCGTCATCGTTGTTGTTGTTGTTGTTGTTGTTGTTGTTGTTGTTGTTGTTGTTGTTGTTGTTGTTGTTGTTGTTGTTGTTGTGTATAGTCCTTGGAGAAATTGGAATCACTTCTCGCTGCTGCTGATGGAGGATCGTAAGTGTGTGTGTGTGTTGTCAAGAGTCAATAATCCCCCAGAGTGTGCAACTGGGATGGGGTTGTGGGACGGCGTAATCCGTGATGTATGTCATTTTTGGGCCGGACTTGTGTCATTCCGGCGACGCGGTCCACCACGGAAACACACTTCCCCTACTCGTGATGTCAACTATGACGTGCAACACGGGTTTCGCCGTCCCAGATCTTGTAAGTGAAGTTGCGCACTGTGGGGGACTATGGACTCTTGGTGTTGCGTATACTGGTACTCGGAATGCATACTTATAGTCCAGGAAGCGTTCTGCAAAAATTGCCAAGCTCTGCTGGCTCTTCCAGCTCTTGAGGTGGAAGAAAGTGGAAGATTCCCCGCGTTCTGTCACTTGCGCATGCACAAAAGGGACGTTGGGTCCTTTTCTGGCAAAAAAAACATTGAATAAACGCGTCCTCGAAAATATTCCTGTTTGCCGTGGCACACTGGGATTCCTGGATCTCTTCTGACCCGTTCGAAAAAATATTCTCATCTCTTCTCTTCCTAGCAGACTTTTCTAGAAGAGACAGAAGAATAAAAGAACGCACCCTTACCCTCATAGCATGTGAAGACACTGATGTACAGTCAGACCTCGCTTATCCGGTCCTCTTTTATCCGGATCCCTCGCCATCCGGAAGAATATCGTTGGTTACCGATTTACAGCATATGTCATGCATACATACAGTATGTGTGTTCGATCATCCGGTTCCCTCGCCTTTCTGGATATTTTTGTGGAAAACGGATGTGTGCGGTTAAACGAGGTCTGACTGTATACTAGTAGCCAAGATTGCTATTCACGAAGTTGACTGCATGTACAGTCAACTTCGCGTATAACGACACTCGGCGGGGCATCAGAAAAGTGTCCTTATTCGCGAAGTGTCGTTATATCCGAAGTCCCATTATATGTATTACAGTTGGATGTGACTTTGCTCTGGGCATGGAAATTCTGTCGTTATTCGCGAATTGTCGTTATATCCGCAGTCATTATTAGCGAAGTTGACTGTAGTTCTGATCTGAATATTTCCGTGCTTTTTTGTCCATCATATCAGATCACGGTACGGTGGCCGGGGACGAGATCGCCATTCGGGCCCACGCTATGGCGACCGGCATCGAAGTGGTGGCGATAGACGCTCGCCACCTCCCCGGCGCGGAGACCAGCAAGCTGGCAGCGGCGGTGCACGCGGCGGCTTCCGACGTCCTGGCGAAGACGCCGCCGACGATTCCAGGTCACGTCCTGGCGCATTCCGGAGGCCAGGCGACGACGGCGATAGAAGAAGCAGCAGCAGCCGCGGTTTTCATCGTCCTGGCGACGACGATGATCGTAGGACCGGTAGTGGTGGCAGTCGTTCGTTCAGTCGACCCGACGAAGACGATGACCACAGGCACAGGTAACAATACATGCTAGCATGGCAGCCTCAGTGGCACTGCAGTCCACGGCTGCTCAATGAAATCCGATCGTGTGGGTCACGTCAGCGTTGCACCCTGCAACACTTCACAGCCCAGTGTGACCACAGGTCTAGGTCTGCACAGTGCACAGTGCACAGTGCACAGTGCCCAGTGCCCAGCGTGTACATGACTCACGGGATTAGATTTCATTGAACAGCACTGTACTGGTACAAGTATTCGGTTTCTTTTACACTCGTGCAACTTCAGTGTTTTACGCGCGCTCTTTGTAATGCTCGTGGCTAGTGCTATGCACTGTGGAAATTGTCATTATGGTGTTGGTTGATTTATACATACGTTGTCACTCTGTGCACGTTTCCACCCCAGCTCACGGTCAAGTGGCCACGACTCGTACTCGGCAAGTTCCCATCGCCACAGCCGTCGGTCGAGGGAGCGTAGCGAGTCGCCAGTGCGACGGGAAAGACGTGACCACGACTCCGCGTCACCGCCGCCTCACCGGCATGCGCGCCACTCTCCGGACGAGTCTAGACGCTCTGCTCACGGCCATGCGCGGGCAGCATCGCCGTCCAATCGTGATCGTGACCGCGGTGCTGCACCGGCTGTGGTGAGAACGGTTGGCTCTTCATCCCCGTCCTCGTCGACAGCCGAGTCCTCGGCGGCGATCGTGTCAGGGCGCAGTGCCGTGGCGTCTTCCACCGTGTCAGCAGCACCTCCGCCAGCGGCAGCGCCAGTGCCCTCTGCTCCAGCCGAGCCTGCGGTCACTGAAGCGCAGCTCAATGCCCTGGGTGCGAAGATAGTGAAAGCTGAGCTGATGGGCAACACGGTACGTTCACACTCCTATATCTGCTTGTAGACAGTTACTACTAGAGACCTTTTCTTTGGCCCGGTGTCTCATGGTGGCAGGGTCAAGGTTTACCATGCTTGTGAGTGGGTTTACAATGATGGGCTTGATTCTGGGCTTCCTGTCATGTGCAGTTAAAATGCAGTAGCTTTTACTACAGGAGAGTGTGCAGGTTTCCTATGAAACATTCTCTCTCTCCCTCTCTCCTCTCTCTCTCTCTCTCTCTCTCTCTCTCTCTCTCTCTCTCTCTCTCTCTCTCTCTCTCTCTCTCTCTCTCTCTCTCTCTCTCTCTCTCTCTCTCTCTGTCTCTCTCTCTGTCTCTCTCTCTCTCTACCTCTCTCTCCCTCTGTCCGTCTCTGGTTTTCAGGACCTGGCTAGCCGCCTACAACAAAAGCTGACGACACTGCAGGAGCGCAAGAAACAACAAGATCAGGCCGGTGCTCCAGGAGCGCCAC